CTCAAAATACAGGGAATGCCTCGACTTAGCACCACACCCGAGCCCAAAGTTTTTGTCGCTAAGTGAGACAGTTGTTAAGTCAGCTTTGCTCCATTTTACGACATTTCTTGCTGTGTTGGTTAAGTGAACCACTGCGGCTGTTAAATTAGTAACACGGTTGTTCAGTGAATCCGGCTTCCCCATTGACTTTGCTTGTCAGGGGGTCACAAAAGGGGACCACAGCACCCCAGGACGCTGCAAGTGTCATAAGTATGAGTCGGTCAATCAAAGCAAGCATCAATAAATATGAGGTCAGTCAATCAAAATTCAATCTGTCTGAATTTTGATCAAGTGACCACGGGGATGTGGCAAAGGTCATCAGTGTGAAAGATGGTCATTAAGTCACTTTTTTCAGTGCCGTCATAACGGTCACTAAATGAACTGTTGTAAGACAAGGACTACGTTTACATCATTCTGAGCAGCATGCGCATGCATGCCACATTTCTTTCCAGACTTCCAAATCCATTCAACGTGACTCTTTCCGTGAAGTATTTTAAATCAGGGGTAGGCAACCTTGGCTCTTTTATGACTGGTCGACTTCAACTCCCAGAATTCCTGAGCCAGCATGAGGGAAACTTTGGCCCCTTCATGACTCGTGGACTTCAACTCCCAGAATTCCTGAGCCAGCATGGCTCAGCTTGGAAACCTCTCCCTTTTCCCTCAGCATGGCTGACTCAGGAATTCTGGGAGTTGAAGTCCATGAGTCATAAAAGAGCCAAGGTTGCCTACCCCTGATTTAAAGAGTGGTAGATCAGCCAATTTTTTTTTTAGCAAGTCTTTTAAAATAAACGGTTGATGACTCTTTTAGTGAACGGTATTTGTTTACTGCTTTATTTTATGACACTTATTTCTAATCCCTTTGGGACTACAGGGTGTAACAAAGTTGTGGGATGAATTATCTTAAGGAAATGCAAGTTCCTGTGCACAAGCCAATGTGACGATGAGTTTTTCCATGAGGGAGGAAAATATAATACTTCGGGGCTGTAATTCATAAAAACATTGACTAAAGTAACAGGAAAATCAGGAGAGCTTCATCTGGTAGTTTTCTGATTTGAGTTTTTCTGCTTCTGCTTTTGGTTTTAATAAACAATACAATACAATACAATATATTACAATACAATACAATACATATTTTAATATGATATAATAAGTTAGGCTAGAAATCAACCCTGACTGTCCTTTGGAAGGACAGATCCTGAAGCTGAAGCTCAAATACTTTGGCCACCAAATGAGAAGGCCCTGATCTTGGGAAAGATTGAAGGCAAAAGGAGAAGGGGACAGCAAAGGAGGAGATAGTTAGATAGTGTCATTGACGCAACAGACATGAGTTTGGACAAAGTCAGGGAGATCGTAGAGGACAGGGGGGCCTGGCGTGCTGCAGCCCATGGAGTCACAAACAGTCAGACAACAACATAGTCTGCTGGTGCAGTGAGTTATATGGACATAGGCACTCAGCCTATGACTTGGCCTTCCATCCTTCCAAGGTTGGTAAAATTAAGGGCAATATGCTGACTCTGTAAACTGCTTAGAGAGGGCTGTAAAGCACTGTGAAGTGGTATATAAGTCTAAGTGCTATTGCTATGTTGTATGTCAAAACCAGTGCATATGGGAGTTTGCACCTGAAGAACTACATTTTTTTAAAAAAAATTCAGAGGTGAGCCTAGAATTGAAGAGGATCTGGATAAAATTTTGTGTGATCAGAACTGCTCGATTTTGACAGTAACACTGATGGAGTAGCAGAAACATTGACTGCATTTGTACAACACAGACAATCGCAAACTTGCCCACTGCACATGAACATGCTAATATGAAGTCAGCCTGTGCGATGAATTGGTGATTAGAGTGTCTTAACAAACTGGGTTGCACTAAGTTAATAAACCACAGCCTGGGTTCCTGCAATATGTGATGCTAAAATATGGCTAGATTGTTGGGCAAACACAATCAGTTAATTGTTTCATGGATTGGTATTATGTGAACCCTATCAATAGAGTTAAATCGGTAAACAATGCTTATGTAAATCATGGGTCAGCATGCTGTGCTAAAATTACTATGTGGGCAAGGTTGATAGGAGTTAACTAGATTTATCTTGGCTAGATTTAATGCCCTTCCAACAGCTGTTACTGAAGGAAGATACCTACAGATAACAATGTGGTGAAGAAACAATGGAACATATTTGTTTTGTTCCCTCTATGCAGGTGCTCAGTGGGAATTATCTTCATTCTTCAGTAAACATTCTTGCCACTCTGACTCTCTCTTAAATTGTTACTATCTGACCACAGTATTTGGCTGTGGTCAACAAAATAAAAACAGATTTTTATTTTGTTCACCACAGCCAAGTACTGCTCTGTTGCTCGCAGAGTAAATCAAAGCATCTCTTCCAACTTTTCTTAAACAGTACAGAATTGTTATGCATTTCTCTATCTTAACTGTGATTTTTGTTTGGTTTCATGGTCTGCGGCTGGATAAAAAATGGATTGCTTTATTGACATGTTGCGGTAACCACTACACATTTTGTTCCAGCTTTGGCACTGCACGTGTCAGCCCAAGATACTGTGGCATGAACAGTAGCCCAACTATCACAAATTTGTGATTTTTTAAAAAAAAGAAAATATAGAACTTTTGATCAGGTTTGATTTCATTTAAAGATTGAGTGAGAAAGGAAAAGTTGGCAATGAGTTTCATATTGAAGACTCATACAGAAGACTCAAACTTTGCCTCGTAGAATGTAGAAGCGGATTTAATTGAATGAAGCTCTAATGCAGGGGTAGTCAACCTTGGCTCTTTTATGACTCGTGGACTTCAACTCCCAGAATTCCTGAGCCAGCACAGCTGGCTCAGGAATTCTGGGAGTTGAAGTCCACGAGTCAAAAAAGAGCCAAGGTTGACTACCCCTGCTCTAATGGATAAAATACAAGTCCTGGGTTGGTTGGCACAAAAGGACAACTAAGGGTCAATTCCCTCTGAGAATGCAAAAGCCAGTAGTTACTCAGATCGGTGTTCACTACATCTCACACCTTTTTTGTGAGGCAAGCCCAAAAAATAAAATAAATTACATCAAGGTAACAAATTGTCCCTTCTAGGACTTGTATTTGCAGATTGCTGGGGAGAAGCCATTTTTTTTTCTTCTTATTGTAGAAAGTCTTGGAAGAATTGAAAAATCTCCATATAATCAACAGTCAATATGCTCTAACAAAGGAGAATATTTGTAGCTCAGGGGTCCTTGGTGCTCTCTGAGCTTGGTTGTTTTCTTGCAGACGTTTCATTGCCCAAACTAGGTAACATTATCAGTGCTACAGCAAATCCCATCCCTTACTAGCACTGATGATGTTACCTAGTGTGGGTAATGAACCAACAAGAAACCAACTGCAAGAAACCAACCAAGCTCAGAGAGCACCAAGGACCCCACAGTCTCCTCCTCCTCCTACCCTCCTTTTCCACAAATCCCACTCCCTCTAATCCAGTGGTTCTCAACCTGTGGGTCGGGCCCCCATTTGGGGTCGATCGACCATTTCACGGGGGTCGCCAAACAAGGCTGTCCGCCATTTTTTTTGTCCGCCATTTTCCCCCCTTTTCCAGCGGGTGCCTTACCTCCCTTGGGCTGGGCCAGCTGGTGGTCGGCCTGCTCCGTCTCTGCCGCCAGCTACGCCTCGGCCGGCGCAGGGGGCGGAACCACGCATGTGCGGCGCTCCCGGGCAGGGAAAGTCCTCGACTTACGACCGGTTGGGTAGTCCTCGACTTACGACCGGTTTAGTCCTCGACTTATGACCGGTTTAGTCCTCAACTTATGACCGGTTTAGTCCTCGACTTATGACCGGTTTAGTCCTCGATTTACGACCGGTTTAGTCCTCGACTTACGACCGGTTGGGGTCGCGGCATTAAAAAGGTTGAGAACCACTCCCTCTAGTCTATACTGATGATGTTACCTAGTTTGGATAATGAAACGTCTGCAAGAAAACAAGCCCTAATACGCTCTAAATTCCCTCCTACACACTGAAGCAAACAGATCTTCCCATCCTACCCAGAACGTTTTCTCTCTCTCCCTTCTCCCGCAGCTTATTTTGCAAACGCGGATTGACCGAATGTCCATTAGACTGAGAGAAGTCTGGGAAACGCGGTTCGCTCCCCCCTCTTAACGTTTAGGATCCAACATTTCACAAGACGGGCTTATCTGAGTAAACCACGATCCAGGCTCACCAAAAGATAGCTTGTGGCGAGGCGGGGGGGAGGAGGGGGGGGGTAAAGCGGAGGACTTTTAAGCCCCTCTACCTGAGTTAGCAAGCAGGCTCGGAGAGCCTCAAACTCAACAGCCACTCCAAGCAGGTAGGCTCGGGGAGCCTCCAACTCAACAGCCACGCGTTAACCTGGTTTGTCGCCTTCCCCCCCCCCCCCGTTCAATTCCGGAAAGCGATGGACCTCGAGATAAGCGCATTCTCCTTCCAGGAGGCAGCCAAAAGGGCTTTGAGGCTTCAGCTGCGGGACAGATGTGGAAAGTCCCCGAAGGAGGTTGCAAAAAAAATAAAATTCCTCCTCTGCAGAAGCAAGGATGACAAGCGGGGGGGGGGTGGGGGGAGGGAGGCGGCCGCGCAACCTGGGCTCTTCAACTCCGAGATGCCAGCAGCAGGAGGAAGAGGAGGAGGAGCCACGTGCCTTAACCCCTCCCTCCTCGCAGCAGTCGGGTTTAAAAGCAACCCGCTAACTTAGAAAAGTTATTCGTCGCGCCTTCTGCAGCTGCGCGAGTCCGGCCGAAACTCGCCTTCGTCGCCCGGTAGCTTCTCACCGCCTTGCGCGCCCCGGCAGCCTCGGACGGCGCTCCTTGGACGCTCGCTCGGCCGGCCGGCCTTTCCCGCTTTCGCCTCCCGAGAGGCGCTTCTCCAGGCCCGGGAGCACAGAGACCCCGACCTTCCCCCGGGCGGCGGCGGCGGCGGCTCCCGGCTCCCGGCTCCCTTCGCCTCCTCGCCACCATGCGAGCCCCGCGGCTCCTGACGCTCTGCAGCCTGGCTTACCTGCTGGTGAGTGCCAGGCGGGCTTCCTCCGGGCGCCGCGCCTTTTGGTCCCGACGCGCGCGGGGCTTCGGACTTGCCTACCTGGGGTTATTTCACACACCCCCCCCCCAGACACACACACACACACACTAGCGGGAAAGTTTTGTTTACTTTTCTGCACTCGGCGGCTCTCCCCGGCGCTTGGAACGGCTGGGCTGCAGGCGAGTTGGAAGCGCGCGCTCAGATCCACTTCCTTTTCCCTTTCCTTTTCCTTTCCCCTTTCCCTTTCCTTTCCCCTTCTTTTCCTTCCTTTCCCTTTCCCCTTCCTTTCCCTTTCCTTTTCCTTTCCCTTTCCTTTCCCCTTCTTTTCCTTCCTTTCCCTTTCCCCTTCCTTTCCCTTTCCTTTTCCTTTCCCTTTCCTTTCCCCTTCTTTTCCTTCCTTTCCCTTTCCCCTTCCTTTCCCTTTCCTTTCCTTTCTTTTCCTTCCTTTCCCTTTCCCTTTCCTTTCCTTTTCCTTTTCCTTTCCTTTTCCTTTCTCTTCCTTCCTTTCCCTTTCCCTTTCCTTCCCCTTTCCTTTCCCCTTTCCTTTCCCTTTTCCTTCCTTTTCCTTCCTTTTCCTTCCTTTCCCTTTCCCCTTCCTTTTCCTTTCTTTTCCTTTCCTTTCCCTTTCCTTTTCCTTTCCCTTTCCTTTCCCCTTTCCTTTCCCCTTCTTTTCCTTCCTTTCCCCTTTCCTTTTCCTTCCTTTTCCTTTCCCCTTTCCTTTCCCCTTCCTTTCCTCTTCCTTTCCCTTTCCTTTCCCTTTCCTTTCCCCTTTCCTTTTCCTTTCCTTTCCCTTTCCTTTCCCCTTTCCTTTCCCCTTCTTTTCCCCTTCCCCTTCCCTTTCCCAGGACGAGCCCCTCGTCCCGCCAAGTGAAGTTTGGCCATGCCGGGCGAAGGAGGCGTCGCGGCGGCCCCCGCCCTTAGGAAAACGGGAGAGTGGGGGAGGGGCGCTCCTGAAATTTGCCCGGGACCGTCTCCGGCCTTGAGGTTGTGCGTGTGTGTGTGTGTGTGTGTGGGTGTGGTGGTCGGGGAGGATCGCCCTGCAGAGAAGACCCCCCAGGGAAGACATGCGGAACATGTCCGGGCAAGTATCTCCCTCCAGAAGCGCGGCGGCTTTTGCGGGGCCCTACAGGTGAAGTCGCAAGCCCTGCGTGTCAAAAGTTTCCGTGTACCGTATTCGTACAGTAACCGAGCTCTTCCCGTCGCGGGTTGGTTCGGGGAGGGCACGAGTTAAAACGGGACTGTGACCCGCAAGTTAGGCAAGTGGGTGTGAGGCTCGTGAAGCGAACGGGGTGTGTTCACGCGTGGGTTTAGAAATGGACAAGGTGGAGATGTACAACCTGGGCTGGACTATATATATAAGCAAAAAGGACGGAATTTCCCCCCCAATTCGTTTCCCAACCTGTCCTTAGCGAACGGTATTTCTCAAGTGACTCGACTATAAAGCAAGAGCGACATTCCTAGGAGCTTTTCCCACTCCCAGGATGTCCCAAAGGTGCTTTTCTTATATATTTTTATTTTTTATTTAAAAGCAACTAGGCTTGGTTTTTTTCCTTTGAAAAGACCTTCAGACCTGGAGAAGCTTCTTGGAGCAGAAGCGAAAAGTTTTCAAAAAAAAAAAATAATGGAAAAAGAAAAAAGTCCAGTTGTTTTTTTGGAAAAAAAAAAAAAAAAAAGCACCTTTGGGACAACCATGACCTGGATGATTGAACATCTCCATAGACCTATTCCTAGGACGTTTTTGGAGAAAGAAGTCACACCGGGTGGGTGAGATTCAGCCCACCAAGAGGCCGAATCGGGGGTGTTTGAAGAGGCAGAGGAAAGGATTTTTCCAGGAAAGGGGGGGGTGACATCCTTGAGTTGTATCCAGGCCTGCTGCAAGTGTCTCCCAGGAACCTGTTGGTGTGGTGGTGTTAACTGTTGTTACTAAGTTTAACTCAAGCCTGTCTCAAGAGTGCAATTTGGTCCTGCATAAAAATGCACTTTCGTTGTTTGCAAACATCCACCAAGTGAAAGGAGAGAGATGTATGACTTTGTTTTTTGGGTTTTTTTGGACACTCCAATCCAGAAGAAAATTTGCTCCCCCCCCCTTTCCTCCCTCCCCCCCTTCTGTCTGGAGAGACCCCTGTGAACTGATTAGCATTGCTGGGCTAAGTTAGAATCCATGTGAACAACCCCTCACATTGTACTGGCTAACAATGCGAACTTGGGGGCTGACAGGATATTTGCTACCTGGGAATTTTGGAAACTCCTAGATGGAAAGCCCCTGATTCTGGATCCTCCCTTGAAGCCTCTCTTCGCCCTAGACCTGGCTGTTGGGACCTCCCCTCCGTCTCCTTTATGATGCAATCATCGGCAACACACTGCATTTCCCCCAGTACATTTCTAGCTGATAGCTGACATTAATTAACAGTATACTATTTTCTTCTTTTACTTGCTCGCCAGGTTTTAACTTAAAGCTGCAATCCTGCACACACTTAACCCATGAATAGGCCTCCACCTCTGAACTGCACCCCAAATCATTGGATTTCAGTCTTGTTTGCAACGAAGCCCCGTTAGAATCGGTGCTTTTGAGTGAATTGATATAAAAAGCATAAACTGCCCCTTATAATTTTTTTTTCAATTAAAACTTTTTAAGAATTTTTCAACTAACCCCCCCCCCAAAGTCTTAATACAAATATGGTATACATTAATAAAAAAAAAAGAATACAGACATAAAAATTTCAGAGCAGCTCGGCAGCCCCCCCCCCCTGCATCCACCCTTTCTTTCACCCTTCCTACCTACTTCCCTCCTATCCTCCTACCTGCACCTCTGTCCTCTCTTCCAGCCACCCCACACATCCCACCTCCTTCCTTTTCTCATCCTTCGGATGCAGTTTGGGGGTACCGGCCGAGCATCTCCTTTTCATAAAACTTTACATTATTTCTCTACAACATTTTAATACACCAACTTTTACATATCTCTACCCTCCTTCATCCCCCCCCCCCCGGACTTCCCAGAACTGAATACAGGGTTAAGCACATATCATCCCAAGTCTAATTAAAACTACCCAACCATAATACAATCAAATATAAACATACTTTAACTCTAAAAACAAATATCAACTTAACATAACCATAAAATATATACAATAACTATATAATGAATAATAATATAATTACATAAATTATAAATAAATAAAAATAATATAAAGTCTAAACTGCCCCTTATAATTTTCCCCATGGAACTTTCCCCTGCATTTCCGTTTTCTTTTCCTTTTCTCGATGTGTTTAAATCCTAAATCAACTGAAGGGCCCTTTCACCTGTCTGATGCAGGGAGTGACAGCTTAGAAAAGTTTGTGCCTTATATCAACGCGTGTTCATCTTAAAAGGTGCTACTAAAATCAGACTTGTTAAAATTTTGGATGCCTTCAGAGTGATCAGTTTGCACTTGGACCGGGTTGCTTTCCAGACCGTTACAATGTTTATCAATGATTTCTGGTAATCTGGAGTTGCTAGGGAAAATTTCAGTATGGATCAGGAGCTGTCCAAACTTATAAACTGATAATTTTTAGGGACAAAATCAGTGGGTCACTTTTACGTTGAAACTTCATTGAAAAGAAATGTGGATCTGCTTAACATTAAGAGTGGTCTCATGGTGAGATGAGAGGCAAACAAATTTTTTTTCAATAAATAATATCTTTCTGGTTGACAGCAAATGGAAATCTTAGAAGTAGTTGCTTTGCTTCAGTTGCCAGCAATGCATTCAGTTCGGTTTTGTTGATTAAATAGGTTTGTTGTTATAAAAACGGTTAGTATATATTATATAAAAGTATAAAATTGAAGTTTTGTGTTATTACTTCATTCTACTGCATCAAAAGGAGTTAATGCTTTTTTTTCTTTTTCCCTTTCCCCTACATTTTTTCTTCCCTTTTTCCTCCCTTATTTTCCCCTTATTTTCATTTTTCTTTCTACTTCTGTATTTTATATTTTGACAAACTAATAAAATATTGGAATGCAAGAAAGCGAAGCATTCAGTAAGCTAAGCAGTGATTGAACTGGCACTGAATCAAATTATTGGTAGTGGATTGCAGATTGTTATTTACATGCCAGCTTTTTGAAGGAATAATTTCCGAATAATTTAGAACTTGGATTTTATCCTTTATTTGGTTTTGACTCACTAGGTTCATGTAATAAAGCACAATTAAATAAATCCTGGCTTAATGAAATAGCTGAAATACCCAGGAAAAGCCTAGAAATATATACTGTACTCTTGTTTTATAATAATAATAATAATGATGATGATGATGATGATGATGATGATGATGATGATGGTGGTGGTGGTGGTGGTGGTGATGGTGGTGGTGATGGTGGTGATGAAGTTGGGAGGGATCTTGGAGGTCATCTAGTCCAACCCCCTGCCCAGGCAGGAAACCCTAACTATGAATGACTCACCTGTGCTTTCTAGAATTAATCCAGTTATCTAGCGTTGAACATGTGGGTAAAGCTTCTTGGCTTAAACTGACATATTTAAGGATAGTGTCTCTGTGTTCACTTGAATCAAATTCTGATCCCACATCTGGATTCACAAAGCATGCTCAGACTCAAATATAGTTGCTTAAATTGTGTGTGCTGCGTGAATTCAGTCATACTCACACTTGTTGAGGAGGCTGTAGACAGTTTTGGACTTGAGAAACTGAACTTCACTACCTTACAGAATTTGTAACATACAAATGAAATAGAAAAATTGTTTTATATTGGTTTTGTCTACACTACTATTGGGGGCAGAAAGTGGGTGCAAATCTAACAGGGCAATTTCTATCATTATTGTGCTGGCTCAAAGTGACAGCAGGGAAGACCAAATCGGAATGGCCCAAGGCAGTCTAAAATAATGCCGCTGACTGATTCCTTTTAAGGGGATCAACTAAAAGAGCCAGCCTTGATTTTCTGCAGCCAAACTTTCTGTTAAAATTTAACAAGGTAGAACTAGCCTGATTTGACATGGTTG